TATTACGGCTACGCCCACTAATTATGATGTCTGACCAGAACCAACGCGAAACGCACTAATTAATACGGAGTATAAAATCAAGCACTTTTTTCTCAGAATAACCCAACTAAACTTAGTCAATGACAGCAAAATAACAAAAAAAACTTGTTCTGATAAACTTAGCCTTGATGATGAAAGCGGATGCCACTAATATCATCCACAATGACCACAAGCAAGAGAGTTTTCCATCAGCAGTGCTGTGTCTTGTGATGAAAATTATACACACCCTAATATATATTTACTAAGAAAAAGAGTTTGCCCTCAGCAGCACTACATCTGATGATGAAAATTATGAACACCCTTATAACATACTTAGAAAAATAAATAAAAATTCCTGTTAAAGGAAATTAAATTGACCAAACCTTTTCCTCATCATTTTGAAGTTGACCCTTAATAGCATCCACTTTAGATGAAAGCCGAAGTAGAGTGCATCCACCTCCAACAACGATTCCTTCTTCAACCGCCGCCTAAATTGCAAGTAAAATTTAAAATATGTTATGTACTGCTAAATGGTAAAGTATTCCATCTAAGCAAAAAAAATATCAGTCTCCTCTTCGAAAAATTATCCAATACCTTTGTTGCATTAAGGGCGTCTTCAACTCTCAGCTTCTTTTCTTTCAACTCTGTTTCAGTTTGTGCTCCAACCTACCAAGAAATTGTAACATGTTGTGAGCAAATGAAACCATTACATTAATCATTCTGGAGATTTTGTATACAGCCCACTGTATAGGGTTTGATGCTGAGAGCAGGAAGGTAGCAAACCTGAATGACAGCCACTCCACCAGAAAGTTTTGCGATTCTCTCTGTAAGCTTTTCCTTCTCATATTCTTGCTCAGCAACCTGCAACAAGAATTTGCATAAGAATGCAAAATCACCGAATCTAGCAATGTTATAATCTGAAAAACAACTTCACCTCAATTTGATTCTTTATTTGTCCAACCCGTTTTGTCACAGCTTCTTGAGTGCTTCCATCACCCACAATTGTGGATGTATCCTTTGTTAGAACTATTTTGGCAGCATGACCTAAAACCTCCTTGTCAGCTTTGTCAAGTGTGAGACCAACTTCATCTCGAATAACGGTTGCTGCAACCAATCACAAAAATTGAGATAGCTGAGTGCAAGATAAGCAGTGAAGGAAAACAGGTAATCAAAACAAACATAGGCAGTATAATGTAAGGTAGCAAGGGTTTAATGTAATCATTTACCTCCTGTAAGGATGGCAATGTCATCAAGATACTGACTTTTACGTTCACCAAATCCAGGAGCCTTGAGTGCTGCAATTTTCAAAGAACCTCTCAACCGATTCACAACAAGGGTAGCCAAAGCTTCCTGTTCAATATCCTCAGCTATTATCAGTACCGGGTAACTTCCCCTAATGGCATCTTCCAAGATGTTAACCAAATCCCTTGCGTTTGTAATCTTCTTGTCAACTAGAAGCACCTGTAACAACATTTTCACAAAAAATGTTAAATGCAATACCACAATATGTGACAACATAAGACAACCCTACTAATATTGTTCAACAGAGTAGTTTTGAATGTATTGCAAACCTTGCAGTTCTCATACTCCACTGTCATTTTCTCAGCATCAGTAACAAAATAAGGTGAAATATAACCCCGATCAAACTGCATTCCTTCAACAACATAGAGACTGTTCTCGGCACTTTTTCCTTCTTCAAGAGTCACAACACCTTTCCTACCAACTCTGCTCATTGCTTCAGCAATCATATTTCCTACTTCATGGTTGTTGCCAGCACTGACAGCAGCTACATCAGCTAGTTCACTGTCTTCAACCTGCAAAAGATCAATTATGCTTACTGGTGACTGCATATTCATAAAAGTTCACATATTAATTAAGTACAAATTCCCTGTAATATTACCTCTTTTGACATCAACTTAAGCTCAGCTACTAGTGCTTTTGTAGTCTTCTCAATACCTCGGGTGATCAGAACAGGATTTGCACCTGCTGCAACTACCTAAACAAACCAAAAAAAAAACTCCACAAAATTATTTATCAAACAAACAGTCATTGAATCAAGTGGGAATTATACAGCATCTTTACTAACAAACCTTGACCCCTTCTGCAATCAGACCTTGTGCGAGGACAACAGAAGTAGTTGTCCCGTCTCCAGCCAAATCATTAGTCTTAGCAGCCGCCTGTCTCACTAATTTCGCCCCAATATTTTCAACTGGGTCCTCCAACTCAACCTTCAGGTTATAGAAAAACCACAACATATAAGTAACGGTTGACCAACAATACAGAATATAAATAGATACAATCACAGGATTGCATAGTTTTATCAATGATCAACCCAACTCTATCATGAAACAAGATTTACATGAGGGGTTAAAAAACTTATACCTCCTTAGCAACAGTGACACCATCATTGACAATCTTTGGGGAACCATATTTGCTCTCTAGAACAACGTTCCGGCCCTTAGGACCCAGAGTAACCCCCACTAAATCAGAAAGCTTGTTCACCCCACTCTGGACAACAAATTTAGTAAATTTAGTTACAAAAAAGTAAACCTAAGAATATTGATTGAATAACTATTCTTAGGCCTAGCCTAAACTCACTTGCAGCCTCTTGATAGCAGACCCATCTTTGTTAAAATACAACTCTTTGGCCATCGCGTTGATCTTTACAGAACGTGAATTCCGCAGAACAGCATTAGATCGTCTCCCTAAAGTGCTAGAAGAAGATATGGACGCCAATGAGGATAGTTTGTCAGCAGAGGTCAAAGGTTTCTTATCCAGAACACGGGTGGCACCAGGGGCAGCCATTGCAGACATGCTCGTGAATGTTGATGCCATTTGTTTAGAAACCACGAGATTTCACTGCAAAAACAAATAATTAACAAATCTTCATAATATAACAAACCTATCCATTCATTTATATAGACATCACCCTTTTTCCAAAAAGCATAATTTATCAAATTCTAACAATATACTTCCTCGTAATAATAAGGGTCAATTTGACTTTTGTAGCAAAACTTAGTCATCTCCAACCGTCAATTTCTATCTTTAGTTCTTCAAAAAAAATATAAAAATGAATACCCACGTTCACATTTGTGACTCAATACTTGTATGTAACAGTTTAACATTACAATGGTCAACTATCACCAATTGTAGCCTATTCATCGGGAATTAATAGTTATGTTGATAGTATGATTGGAACGAGTAATAAAATAACTATACCCGACCCTTGGGAACGATTGAAACACAAATATTAAAGAACACATACATATTCATGACAACATAGTGATACAAACAATAGTAATTACATCGCAATATGCGCATATTAGCGACCTTATTAGCAAATAAAACTAACATCTCAAAAACAAATTAACGAAAATAAAGCTCAATAATTAGTGAACAACATTAGGGTTTTGCATAAACACAAAATTCTAAAAATTAATTTACAGAAATTGCAAAGAATATATATACAGAATGTAAATTTTGAAGATTGAAACGATGAAATCGAAGTAAAATAGGAGAGAGAAAATGTAAACTTACGAAGATGGAGAAATGGATAAGAGGAGCTTTGAAATGGAGAGTGAATACTGAAGCAGAGAGAAGAGTGAGTGAGTGAAGAGGTAAGGTTTTAGCGAAAACCGGAAAATGAGAGAAATTAGGTTTAAATTGAGGGAAAACCAGTATTTCTTTTAGCCTCTTGAAACTTATTCCTAATTATGGACCGTTGGATTTATTTATCTCTTGTTGTGCTTAGAACTCTCTAGAATGTTTTGGTTTCGTTTGTTGGCCAACTTGACATTTTTGGCACCACCATGGCTCCCTACTTCCCCTAGTAATGTGAATAGTGAATTGTATTTGGGCTTGGTCATCACACGGTTGGTATCCAATCATCTGCTCGACTTAATTGGTAGATGTGATGAATTTGTCGTAAGATGTGGCAAACAAACTACTAGTTTTTACGGTCAAGTTTTGACATTGATAATAAGTAGACTGTCGTCTTTAATGGTCAAGTTTTTACGGTGCTTCGATGACAAGTTTTGACACCTCGATGAAGGATTGTGGATTTATTATGGTTAATTTTATATTACTCAATTTATAGGCGCGTGCGCTGAAAAGCTCGCAGTTGGAGTTGTGCAATATGACGCCTATTAGTGTTGATTTGTCATAAAATGGACAATCGAAGCTAAGTTCAAATGAACTAGGCGGTGGTGCCCCCCTAAGCAGTAATAATATAGTTGGACGGAGGCAGATTTGGGCATGGGGCACGCTGTCATGAAAATAGCTCGACTCAATACAAGAGGGCAATAGGCACATCAATGGGTCACAGATCGTACAATTATATCAATCATATTCAAAACTTGACATGAGATAGTACACAAACGATAAATTTACATGTTTAATAAAAACCAATTTATCAAAAAAATTTACAAAAATCAACAGGGCTTTGGTATGCTATGATAGGTGGATTGTGCATAAGCTTTGTTTATGAAAGTTGACACAAATTAGACATGTCACTTTTTTATTTTGCTTATTCTACAACATGATCTGCTTGAGCATGAGACACGCTAGCTCGATCGATGAGCTTAAATGGCATACCCCCATGTGACTATGGCCAACTTTAGATGGAAGTGGTTGAGAAGCTCGTGTTTGTAGAGAACTTAATGAATAAATGAGATTCGTATAAGTTTTGTGACAAGGAAAAGCAATTTTCATCGCCACAAAAATGTGGTCTCCAAAGAGCAATGTCACACAAGAGCAAAAAAGAAAAACGATTATTTCATCAAATAACATAAGATATTGCAAAATTCACATAATATTTATGATAATTTCCAAAATTAACGAGTTATTTCTGAGATTTGAAATGACATTACAAGTAATATCTACGAAGTAAAATTAACGAGGTATTTATATAAAACATTTACTAGTAAAATTTTATATGTTTTGAGTGCGAACTAATCGGGTGCTTATTCTGGTTGTGGGTTTGCAGCCGGGCATGGATCTTACTCTCAAACTTACCGCCCACTGTGAAACCCGAATCTTGTTCTAGGGTTTAAGATTTTAGCTGTTTCTGCTCTTAATTCATCGAGCTTCCTTCTCTTTCTTCCTCAACCTTCACTAATCATCAATGGCGAAAACCCCATCTCCAATTTCAATGTGATGCTGTTACAAACTTAGCTGTTTCATTCAATCAAGAGCTTTTCAGGAATTTTATTTCATTTCTTCTCTCTATTCGTCGATTTCGTTGCTAAAAGATGCAATTTCTGAGTCGAATCTTATCGCGCAATTCACCTTCATGTTACTTCAGTAGTGCGAGTATATTATCAAAGTATTTGTCAGAAATCACCCCAATTGAATCCCCCAAATTCAAGCTTTTTACAAATTCTAGAGGTTTCTCGAATGAATCCAAAAATGGCGGTGGAAATCTTCCATGGGGTAACAGCAAAGTAGGCGGTGATAATTTTCAGTGGGATGAATCGGCTTCTTCTTGGTCTACTGGGTTAACCAAAGATCACTTTGATGGGGAAGCAGTGGGTCATCAGGTTAGTCATCACGTACCTTATGGTGGTGGGGTTGGTTCGGTATCGGAACCTCGATCGAATTCTCGTTCATCGGGTGATTCGTCAGAGAGATTGTTAAGGAAGCAATTGGCAGAGCTGCAGCGTGAGGCGCGGCGAGAGGCGAGGAGAGAGTTGGATGCTGAGGATGTGTGGGATGAAAAGATGGAAGAGACTAGTGTGGTATTGAAGCAGATTACTGAGCCTGGTGCTAGAGGTTCTTACTTGAAGGATTCCGAAAAAGCCGAAATGTATCGGTTGCATAAGGGAGACCCTGAGGTTTATAATGTGGAACGGTTGGCTAAGGATTTTAGGATTATGAGGCAAAGGGTGGTTGCCATTCTTTGGCTTAAGGAGCTTGAGGAAGAAGAGGAGAAAAAGCTTGGTGAACCTTTGGATGATTCTGTTGAGCTTTTGCTTGATGCTTTCCCTGAGTAAGTTCATTTCTTGATGCATTTTTATGTGTTAAACTGTTAATTACTGACTTTGATTATTATGAACCAGATTATGAAGTGAGCATAGAAATTTAGTGAATGTATGTGGAATTTTGTTATGTATCAATTGGTGCTTGGTTTTGTTTCTTTGAGGTGTAATGAAATTGATATGGGTTTATGGCCGATTAGTGCTTGTTTTTTGAATTGTTCTACCTGTTGAGTGCTCGAATGACTTAATTTGGCAGTTGTTCATTGTATGTTTGTGGTTGAAGTTGATGTTTAAGTTCTCTGCGATGGAAAAGCAAGATGTCAAATCCTAGTTGGGTTCTTATGTAACTGCTAGTTTGTTTGATAACGTACCCTTGCTAATCGCAGAACATCAGAAGTATGACTATGGTATGAATAATTTGTTAGTATTGATTTCTTTGATGGCTGTAGTTGAAACTAGTAAAATCCCAATGTGCTTAAAATACAGCACTCCTCTATAGTTTCCCCTCTTAGCAGGTCATTAGATCTGTGACAGATTCTGTGTCTGTTGGTAGGAATCCTATTGGCTGTTACCTTTCTTGTGTTCAGCTTTTTCCCCCTTGCATAAAGTAATTTTATTTATCTTGCTTTTGTGCAGATCTCTACTCTTTTCTGTTACTGCCATTTCATTCAGTTTACATTCGGATAATTTAGTTATTACTCTATATGTGGGGCATTGTTATTGACCTGCTTTTGCTACTTACTGAAGCCCAAAGGAGAATATAAGTACTTTGTTGGACCTAAACTTTTGTCTGAGGCAAATTTTTAATTTGCGCCTTCCAAACCCTTTCAGTACATTCTCTCTTGCCACACTCTGTTAAACTTCTCTTCATTTTTCATCTGTTCTATTCTTTTCTCAGTTGAGAATACAAGATTAAGTTGTTCTTCCCATGGCACCATGTGTCTTTGTTATGGGAGTTAAGCTGTTGAACAATCTTTAGAGATGATAAGACATATACCACATTGTGGAAACAATATGAGTTGTGTATTTAGGAGAGTAATTTAAGTTGTAGGGTTATGTTGTTGAAATTCTAGTCTGGTATCCTACTCTATTTTTTTTGGAATTTGTGTTGAGTTGCTGTTACTAAATTTAAAGAGCAATCAAGTATTCTTAAGCTTTTTCACGGGCTACCCTTTGTAATTTGGCGTAATAGATAAGTTGCTGTTTGGTCATGGTTTTATGCATGATGTACTCCTATTGTTTGGGATTGTGTGCAATGCATACAAATTTGAGTATCCTTATAGTCAGGTTACTGATATCAGTGACGTATCTGCTTGTAACAGACCAGATTTCCCACACCAAGATTAAACACAATTAACAGTAAATTAAGGCTAAAGCTTGAGTATTTAATTGCTAATTATTGTAGGATTACAAACTAAGAGTGATAAGTATAGCTTTAGGCTATAAATCTCATGGTAGCTTGAGGCTACTAATCTCACCAAGTGTTTCATTCAATTTCTGGATGGATTTCTTGTTACACATACTAACACTACTTATACTCAAGGCTTCTAATGTCTTTCTGTATACACTACTTAGCTAATGTAGAAAAACCATAAGCAAACATAGTTGAAGCTGGTTGCTTTCTTTCCTAAACTCCTCCTTAATTGGATTTGTCTTCTTGCATAGAAATGCTCCTTGGTTGCTACTCTTGCTCAGTTGCTGTTGACCTTGCTCATGTTGGTACTGACCCTTGTTCTTCCCTTTTCCACGCCTCGAATACACCAATAAAGGTGTTTGACCCGGTTGACTCGAGCCTCTAAACCAGTCCATCACACTGCTGTATGGTTGTTTGACCTTTTGATAAATGATGACTAATGTTGACTCATCCCCCCCCCCCCCCATTTTCTATATTACCACCTCTCTCTTAATATTGCCTTGAAGTTAATTTGAGAGCTTGTCATTCCTTGTTTGTAGACAAGATCATTCATGATTCTTCAATTTGAAGGTATTATGACTTGCATGCTGTATCTCTTGTTGTTGGGGCTTAGTGAAGTAGCAAACCTTTAAGATTAAGATTAAGGATTTATTGCCCCTATTTGTCAATCAATGACATCCTTTTGATGTCTTTCTGTATACACTCCATTTCTTTCCTCCCCATAGGAAAAACTAAATACTTAGTACAATTGAAATAAAATAATAGTAGCTCGTAATATACTTATTAAACTCATATGAAACACATGATCCTGGCCATGTAAATAATGCACGATGCAATGTGATTGACACTTTCATATCCCAACTTATATACACAAAATAGGATGATAGTATATATTTTCAAAGCTGAAAGCCCCTGGGGAGCGGGTGTTTACCATGTAATGGAATCTCAGGACTTGGAACCTTCTTCTAGGCAGGAGATAGGCAGAGCCGCAGAGTAAGAGAGGACAGGAGGTGGGATAAACTTTTTCCGCATCCGCTAAAATCAGAAATGTCAGAAATTGACAAGTTAAGAAGTTTCAAAACCTACGTACAATCCCAAAGTACAAAGGTACTTTGTACTCATAGTTGCTTCCAAAGGAAGTCTTGTAAATATTACTGTATTACCAAATTTACCCTGTCATGAGCAAGAGCGTTTTTAGAGGTATTGGAGCTACAAGCCTATTTTGAGGCTTTTGAGCTATTCACGTGGCCATTATGAGTGGGTAATCTGGTGTACAAGTTTATCATAGATGCAAAGGGGGATTTGTTCATGCAATAGAGTCAACCAAGGACTGATGGCAATAAAAAAAGCCCAATAAGTGGTTCTACACACTCTAACTTAGACTTTGTGGTCATATGATTGGGTTATAGATGTAGCAAAGCAATGACAATTTTTCTTAAAAGTGAATTACTTTACTTTAAAGGTGTAGATTTACTCTTGGAATAGATTGGGAAACTAGCAGCATCAACAGAAGCCGGAATCATGCTTCCCAGGTTTTTGAGCTTATAGTTGCAAAAGTCTTATTCTCAGGATCTAAGTATTTTTTTTGGGATCGATGATAAATGTTTCAAAGGAAGATGAGAACTTGCTAGGCCTTACTGAACCTGTCTACTATGCTGGTAGTTTCTTTCTCGGATGAATTTGTGATGAATCATCATAGGATTTGGAAGTAAAGCTAGTCAATGGTAAAGAAATAAATAGTCATTGTCAGAACTTGCTTTAGGAAGGAAAAATGTAACTAAGAGACGAGGACTTGAAATTGGGAATCAAATAGAGGCTTCTGATCTTTGAACATACTTGATTTGTGCCTTTTCACCCGTGTGTAGACTTCGTTGTCCTTGCTATGTATTCCTTATATTGCGTTTTAATGCTCCTTCTCTCTCATGTGTGTGTGTGTGCGTGTGCGTGTGCGTGTGCGTGAGACTGTTTATTTTATCGAACTTAAGATCATTATAACTATCTTTTAAGTAATTGGAAGACAGAAAGTGTAATTTGGTCAAGTGTATTGTAGTTTGGATTTTGGGGTTTCCAGTTATTTCATTAGGAAGAAATGTTTTTCTATTATCAAAAGAATTTTCAGACTTTTATCTCTTTCCTTGTGTTTGCTTGAATGCCTTCTGCTGTTTTTTTATTCTTCTTGGCTTGGTTTGTTTGTATGTAGACTTTACTAGCCATATACCATTTAATTTCCTTCACTCTGTGCTTCTACTTTATAATTACTAGTATTTATTGTTTGTATTCAGGGTTGCATTACTTCCTCACAAATCGCAATTGATTATATTGTTATATTATGCTTTTAAAAATAACAAAACACTACTTGTAAACTACACTGCTGATTTTTGGACTCAAATTTGCCCAATTTGGCTGTGCTGTATGCCTGTATCTGAAGCTTTTAAGATTTCCTGCAACTAATCCATATTGTTGGGCCTATTAAACCGTGAGCAATGTAGGGGTTTTTTTTTTTTTTTTTTTTTTTTTTTTTTTTTAAATTTTTAATTTTTAGTTCAAGGCTTCCTTGTCGGGAGTATAAAAAGATAAATATCAATTCAATAATGCAAGTTTGAAAGTTTCTCCTTGAATTTACCCTGTTGGTTTCGTTCTTGCAGATTCTTCGTTTCCCATGATAGAGAGTTTCATGTAGCCTCACTTCCATACAAACCTGATTTTAAGGTCATGCCCGAGGGTTGGGATGGCACCACTAGAGATCCGGATGAAGTACACTATGAGATATCAAAGAAGGAAGATGATATATTGTATGAAGAATTCCTTCAGAAGTTTAACTTCAACAAGATGAAAGTAAGTGTCTCTCTCTCTCTTCGTTTCACCTCTAGGAGACTTCAATATTGAGTCCTACACTATTTTTTTTTTTTTGTGAGAAGCCCCTTGTAGGTAGGGGGGAAATTGGGGATCCCTCTAACAATGGGTGAAAATTGAACCCCTCTCACAGAGATCAACCTTGATACTCTACACTCTGCTATTGGGTTGCACACTTGCACTAAAATACCCTTGGCTGTGAAAGTGTGAATCTATGGTTACACTTGAATTATTGCTTTCAGTTCCATTTCTTTTTAACGGAATGGTTTTGACTTTTAGGCAGTGGGCTGAATACTAAATATAACAGAAGATTAAGATAACAATAGCAAATATTATACTTAATACACTACTATATCCTCCACTGGCAAACAAAGTTTGTGAGAACTTTGGTCCTTTTTTTCTAGGACAGAGTGGTACACCTTGTCTGGTAAAGCTATTGCTCTAGTGTCTTGTTTCTTGAAGAAAAAGGAGGAGAAAACCTTGGGATGTACTATATATATTTTTTTCCATTCATGTGAGAGTGACCATCGATTTCCGTTGTGTGTAAGGGCTGACAGTTAGCTGGCACATCCCAAAACTGAATGTTTGGCGACTAGATTTGGTTCTAATTATTACTGGTCTTTTAACTTGCTGTGCTGTGATTATGTTGCCAACAGTTGACTATTTTTGTGCTTATAATGTTGTGTAATGCAATATCCACTTTTGTGAGCAGTTCAAGAACGAGGTTAAGGTGCACAAATATAGTAGGAGGCGCCCTTCAGATGGTTGGAGTTTTACAGTGGAGAAGTTAGGACCTCGGGGAAAGCGTGGAGGAAGTGGTGGATGGAAATTTGTGAGTCAACCAGATGGATCAACACGACCATTGAACGATATAGAGAAGATGTATGTCAAGAGGGAAACTCCTCGTCGCCGTCGAAAAATACTCCCGTAAGAAGCAAATATTCATATCACAGCTACAACTTAGGCAGCATTTTTTGTTTGGTTCTTTTGTATGATAGAGCTGTTATCTCTTCTCCAAATTTGTATGGGTGCAAGTCGGCACTTTTGTATTCCTGGATCTGGTTTTGGTTGACATTTCCTATGATCGATTAAAACAGAGGATTTGTTGACATATCTCTAAGGGTGAATAAAATGATCCACTCCAAATATTTGGCTAAACCACTTGCTTTTCCCCCCTACCAAATGAGTGGATCATTTTGTCAAGTCCTGGGATTGTTTTATCTATCTCCGAACTAACGTTGCAGCAGGTTTTAATTCGAAAGTCTTGGCCAATGGAAGTTCACCGTCTTCTTTACTTGTAGACGAGATGACTGTAGCCGGGTTTCAATTCTAGGCTTTTCGAGTATTCGGTATACCATATTGACTTTGTTAAGCAATAAACCAGTCAATCTGCTAATTTGCTGGCAGGTGCTTCTCTTGTCACAACAGTTGGCAATTGTATGATGTATTATACTATCTTTCCAAATTGGATTGTCCATTGCATTTGTATTTGTATTTGCCAGAATTAAGTGATTTAAATATATTAGGAAGAGTTGATATTTGCGTTGACTTGACTTGTCAAAGTATGTGGGAGGCGTATAACAGGTAATGAAATGTATTGTGGAGCATTATCGTACTTAAGAATGACGCACTTTGTATCAAAGATGGTGTCAATTTTTTAGTCGACGTGCGATTTTTTAGTGAATGGTCCAACTCCAATAATCCAATCATTCATGAATGTCTCATGTCATGCCAATACGGGAAGGAGTAGCTGGCTAATGTGGTCAGCATTGACACAAACCTTAATTACGTGTACAAGTAACATAATCTTTCTATCTCTAATTATTCGACACACTTGACTTATACTACGGAGTATTATACAAACTTTTTTTGGTGTTAGCATGAAGTAAAAAAGAAATGTACTTCGTAATTAATATATTTTAGGCCGTGTTTGGTGAAAAGCTAAAGGTGAGGTATTTATATTGTTAACCTTGTTTGATAAAAGGCCAAAAGGTGAAACTAATCGTATTAGTAGATTTCAACTAGATTATTGTATTAATTGATTTAACTAAAAACTAATTGATTAAAGTTGTTTGAGTGTACAAATGACTAATAAGGACATTAAAATATTTTAATATGGTAAGAGTTTTGGGTTTAATGCCATCTCACTCTTAAGATATTTGAAAAAGTTAATAAAAAAAAGCATTCAATAAGCTCATTTGGGGGAATAAGCTATTCAAATCATCTGACCACCAAATACCCCAATTAACTTATTGTATTGGTAAGCTAACCAAAATAAGTCAAATCAATTAATTTTGCTTCGTTAAGCTCACCACCAAATACCCTCGTAATTTCATTGACTAACATAAGTGGGCTAAGGATATATATTGATTGAAAAGAAACAAAAAAAAACACTGAAAAGGGTTAACATGACCTTAAATATCAGGGTTTGATCTCCTAAGGGTATGAGTGTGCCTTGCTGCACCAAGCCTAGATTGATTTACTTGTAGGTTATAATCGAAATCCAATAAGATGTTTGTCCTTACCATATCTCGACATAAATCACAATCTAATAAGATCTGTTTCCTTACCATATTGCAACATAGGTTACAATCCAACAAGATCCTTTCTTACCACTGGTAAGACATAAATTACAACCTATTAAGACACTATTTAATTTTGTATCACAAGATTCACAACATAGGTTATGATTTGATAAGATTCTTTTCCTCATCATCTTTCAACATTGGATACAATTGGATAAGATCTTTTCAATCACCCTATTACAACATAAGTTACAATCTAGTATAACCTTTTCCCTTATCCTTTAACGGTATAAGAAAATTTCATTTAGACCTTTTTCTGTACCATATTACAATATACAAGGATGATTTTTATTCCTTAATTCTTACCACTTAATCACTTATACACGATACTGAATAAATACTCTAAAAAAAATAAAATAAACGCGGGATCCGGAGATCTTCATGAACTCAAAAATTGTGTGGCTCCCCATTTTGCAACTTCAATCAGGGGGAAAAAATAAAAAAATTGAGTCTTGACAGCAAAAAAGGAAACCTTTTTAATTTTTTGGATTTTCCATTTTTTTGCCTTTCTCTTTCAAAGTAATTCATACCAAACGTAACGGAAATACCGTCGTCCCTGTTCTTTCTCTCTCTCCTCTCTCGGCTGTTGCTGTCGAATTCCTTTGAACAATTTCTGAGAGAGAATACGAGAGAGTAAGAGAGGGGGGAAGAATTTAATATTCAAACAAATTTGGCAAAAAAGATTGGGATTTTTCACAGGTTACAACGTTAAAGGAGCCTCCTTTTTGAGTCTTTTAGATTGTTTTGGAAATACCCATGTTCGGAAAATTCTCAAGAATCTCAAATTAATGAATATTTGATTGGTTTTAGATGTGTAATCCACATTTTTCCCTTGAAAAAGAGCCAAGTGGGTATCTGAATTTTCCAATTAATTTTCAAGATTTTGTTTGTGATTCTTGAAATTTGATGAATATTTATATGTGGGTGTTATCAGGGTTTTGAAAAGAATTTGGCTTTCAAAGGGTTTTGAATTTCGCATTGGATTGGATTGAATTGGGTTTATTTTTTGGTTTTGGGGCAAAAATTTGTCAATGGTGATGTCGTCAGATAATGTTAAGGGGCTTGTGTTGGCTGTTTCTTCGAGTATCTTTATTGGGTCAAGCTTCATCATTAAGAAAAAAGGTCTCATGAAAGCTGGGACAACTGGGACTAGAGCAGGTTTTGATCCTCTCAATCTTTTTATTATTTCTTATTAATGTTGTTTTTGATGCCGCGTTTAGAATTCATGAATTTCTTGGAATTGAGATATTGGGGTTTTCATCATTGTTTTTTTGGTTAAATGGTTTGCTTTTTTTGTTTATGTTTTGTTTACCAGGATCAGGAGGCCATTCATACCTGTATGAACCTTGGTGGTGGGCAGGAATGATTGCAAGTAAGTTTTTGTCGGATTTCGTCGTGTGAAAATTAGATGGATGTGGTTGCTGTCATTTGTTTTTTGTTTGTGTCGCTTTTCGAGTTGATTGAATGATACATGATGGTGACTTGAATTGTGGACTAATAGTGTGCCTTCATTTGTATTTTGCTAGTGATTGTTGGGGAGATTGCTAATTTTGCAGCATATGCTTTTGCACCTGCAATTCTTGTTACTCCTTTGGGAGCCCTTAGTATTATTTTCAGGTTTGGTCAATGCAACATTGGAATTCTTTCACCTGAATTACTTGTCTGTTTTAATTTTAAATTTAATCTCCTAAAGCTAGTTTCTGTAATGCAGTTCAGTTCTAGCTCATTTTATCCTCAAGGAAAAGTTGCACATATTTGGTATGCTTGGTTGTGTTCTCTGTGTGGTTGGTTCGACCACTATTGTCTTACATGCTCCACACGAGAGAGATATTGAATCTGTTAAGCAAGTATGGACGCTTGCAACAGAGCCAGGTAATTGCATATGGAACCTTATCAGTTTGACTTTGTCTTCTTGTCTTGTCTTAGAGATTTAAATAATTGGTATTTCATGTGGTATATTGATAGAACACTGAAATTCACAGAGTTTTGCCATAATTCTTTTTTGCTCAAGAGGAATTTCTTTCCAGGGTCGTGCTTTCTTTTTGTGTACCTCCAAAGGCTTGCGGCAGTCTAATATGCTTACCCATGATATTTCATATATAGTGTTTATTAGCTTTGGTATTCAACAATCTGCAAGTGCAAGAAATAGCTGACCAGAAAATTTATCTGTGAACAGGTTTTCTTGTGTATGCTGGCATTGTTGTTGTGATGGTTATTGTACTCATTTTCTACTTTGTTCCACGTAATGGGCGGACACATATGGTTGTGTATATTGGAATTTGCTCCCTCATGGGGTCACTTACGGTTTGTTCATTGAATCCCAGCTTTACATGTTCACAATTTAGCTTTCTGGCTTATCCACTCATTGGTCAGACATGATTATTTTTTTGCATATGTAGGTTATGTGTGTCAAAGCTGTGAGTATTGCCTTGAAGTTGACTTTTGAGGGAAATAACCAGTTTAAATACTTCCAAGCATGGTTCTTCACCATTGTTGTAATTATATGCTGTCTCTTGCAAATTAATTACTTGAACAAGGTAATTGTTGAAATTATAGTCTCACTATGATCTCTGTCTTCTGCAGGATGCTATATTGTTGTTCTTTCAATGTTTATCAATTCATTCATTCAGTAATGCTCTGTGAATTATGATTGATGTTAGAGTTCTGTTATGACTATGATTTATTGCGTATTTATTTACTATATGCCGTGACTTGTCATAAGCTAGGTGTTTTCAAGGCAACTACAATGGTAGCCTTTTTATTCTTAATTGACTTTCTCTTGAAATAATTTTACAAATCAGTTAACTGTAGAATTTGAGCACAAGCTTGATATTAGTCTAATTGAGGCAGTTCTTACCTTGGCCAATATGCACTAGTGTAGAACGTGCAACCTAGTACACAAGGATGGGATTGATATAGATACCTATGTCACTTGAACTCTTAGACTATTATTACCTCAAGTAACCATATTAGAATACTCGACACTCTATAATGGGAAGTGGCTTCATTTTGGGCTTAAAGTTTTCATTGTTTAGTGTGACCTCATCTTCATGGTAAAAGTAATTTGGTTTGTTGTTCTATTTAATTCACTATACTAGTTTGGAAGATTACAAGATGCTATGCATCTCTGTATGAAATTCTTTTAATTAATAACGGAAGATGCCTGTAGTAATTCAAAGAGCAATCTGATGTTTAAAGTATCCTTAGTAGTCACAGGGAAGGAGAAGTAGATCAAAGAAGAGTTGAAACTAGGCTATGATATTGCATGCCTATATTTTACTAGAGTACAGACATCTTGTTAGAAATTATGGTGCTACGGGATCTATGTAGCCGACCTCAAGTTGGGGCTTTAGTGTATTATTGAGATTTTAAGGTAAGTTGCAATTTTCTTTCCTACTTCAATTCCTCCACTGTACTACCTCAACCCTTCCCTCTTTTCCTTCAGAAGTACCTATGATTGCTACCAGTAGAACCACTAGATCTACGCCTCTACCACCACCATTACGGCACCAATACAACAACAACTACTACTATTATCTTCTTTTTTGCACCCCTTCCCTCTTTTCTTTGTTACTTTTAGTTGTTACCTAAATTTATAATAAATTAATTGGTTTGCATTGGACGATAATTTACTAACTGAAGGGCACTATTTACAAACCTACTTACATCAAAACAAAATACATAGAGAATAACTAAGAAAGGAAGATTTGGATTGGTTGAAAGTGGATGCTTATTTATCTGGACTTGCAATCACAAGAGGTGGAGTGAAACTCTGCATTTTCTTGTGATCTGCTTATCTTATGATTTCTGTTATATATTTTCATGATTTAAGACACATACCTCTAGACAAGCCACAACTGCATAGGTTTCCCTGCCACCCAATAAGTGACACCTATTCTTTTTATTGATTTTGTCAGATTCATCACCGTGAATACTGAAATTTATTGTTGTGGTATTGGAAATTTGACCCATATCTCTTCCTGTTTAAGATATACTTCGTATTATGACATGCTTACAAAATCACAATTTTCATCTTTGCAAAACCACAACCATTATATAAAAATAGAAAAGAAGAAAAAAAAAAAAAAAAAAAAAAAAAAACCCTCCAATCTTGCTTTGATAGGCTTTTGATTCATATAATAGCTACTTTTGTGTTATAAAAATGAGAGTTTCTGCATGGGTGATTGGGTGGATATCTCCATTATTAGGATGAATTTAGTAGGGAAAAAAAACGCTTTTTCTGTTTTCTACTTGTGATATTTGCTGGTGAGAAAAAAAAAAAAGGTTTGTAGGTATCTTTTGATCTTGTTTGCAAGCATATGTGCGCTCTACGTCATTAGTGTTCATTATTTTTTTAAAACATGTTCTCTACTGCATTACAAAGGCTACCTGGAAGTTATAATGACATTTATATTGTTGCAGGCTCTGGACACCTTTAACACTGCTGTTGTATCACCTGTCTACTACGTCATGTTTACTTCGCTTACCATCCTTGCCAGTATGATCATGTTTAAGGTAATATTACTATTGGAAAATTCTCATTTACAATTAACCTTATGGCATCTACAGGGGATAAATATCTAGTTTGAAGTTTCGCTGTTGTTGCAACATAAATATTTTCTCTAAACTGCTAATTATTTCAATTACAGCACATGTTGCAGTCTGGATAATGTCTATATATACACCATGAATTAATAAATGATGAAATGTTAGAGATCCTTATAGCTCGTTTAGAGAACTGGATGTAAATACCATATTGATTCCTATTCTTTAATATTGCAGAACTAAAAGCTCTGAAAGGTGAAACAACCAGACAATATCACCAATTTATTGCCTAAAATAAAAACAAATCTGTCAAATTAATTATTCTAATGCTGGTTACAACAGCATTAATGTATTGACATCTGTTCTTGCACTAAATGAATATTCCTCTTACGGCTATGATGTTGAATTAGTGTTACTAGTTGTCTAGTTCAGTAAATTTAACATATTGCGGCAATTACGAACACCACTTTACACTTGACTGAGACCTTCAGTATGTTTTGATACGCTTAAAGTGTACTCCAAAATGAATGAATCGCCCTGTTCCGTTTAGATGGAAGTCTATATACTGTGATAAGTTTTAAAGGAGTTTAAGATTTTCCTTCATCTGTTACTCTTACATTCTTCTTTGGTGGGGGCTTGAGTAGCATTTAGATAGTCTATATACTGTGATAAGTTTTAAAGGAGTTTAAGATTTTCCTTCATCTGTTACTCTTACATTCTTCTTTGGTGGGGGCTTGAGTAGCATTTAGATAGTCTATATACCGTGATATGCTGTTCATTTTATGATTACGTTGCTCTTGTGTTTGTCCAAATCTTCAGGATTGGGATTCACAAAATGGTTCACAAATAGCTACAGAATTGTGCGGATTTGTAACCATTCTCTCTGGGACATTTCTGCTTCACAAAACCAAGGACATGGGAAATACTCCAGCGGCAACACCACTTGCTGCAGCTGAACTTTCTAGGCAATATAGCGTCAATTGCAATCATGAAAATTCGAGGCATTCTGACTGCAATGCTAGCCCTGACCGCAATTTCAGAGAGTAAGCTAGATTTTTTTGGAGATCTAACAAATATTTTGCCGGTTGTCCCTTGGAACTCAACGGGACAGATGATACCTTGTCTCTTGGAGCACAAAGCTCGGGCTTGAAATGTTATCACATTACAGAATGGCCAGTTTTTTGTTTTTGGCTGAAGTGCAGACCAATTTCTGATAAAAGGGTATATATTTCATTGCGGAAGGCTCTTATTATTTGTAGGGATACAGCTACGTTAGCTAGAATTTTTTTTCCACCTATTTTTTTTCGCTACGTAGGTTTGAGGTGCTATGACTTGTGAATATGTTTCGGAAAATAAATGAAAAATATTGGTTATGGCAAAAATCTAGAAAGGCAGACCCCAGATGGTATGAGAAAGAAATTTGTGCAGTATTTTCAGAACCTTTTTACATCACCCCTTAGTTTGATGGGTTAATTACATTACCATATGTTAAGGATTAAACCTCTTATGATCAGCTAGTAAAAGAAATATTATTTTTACTCGTACTCTTCATCTTGTATGTTCTTTCAAATTTTAACTCTTTATACCAGCTATTATTTTATGTCGACGTCTGTGGTGTGTCCATGCAAAATGACGCATTGGCTATTTGGCTATATGTTTACAAAGTTACAACTTACAACTTTACAAGTGCTTATGCCAAAACATGATACATACGAGTACATGATATGTATGCACACATGATGCATTTAATGTGTCAACTACATTTCTTATAATCATAATGTAGGGATATGCATATTAAATTTTGATTATGATAAACTTAGGCAAATGCATTAAAATTTTAAGAATAGTAAATAGTAATATGCATAGTGGCCAAATAGTCAATATAGTAATTTGATTGAATTATCAACTAACATTCATTTGTGAATTGTGATGGTTAAGATTTGAGAGGGCTTTTTTTTTTTTGGTATTTAGAGAGCCACAAGGGGTGAGAATCGATCCCAGGATATTTAGGAATCGGAAGGGAAGCTCTAACCACTTGAGCTATCTTCTTAATTTCATTATAATAATTAATTGCACATGCCACCTTAAGTTTCTTTAATAGCTTTAGGTCATCCACTATATACCTAAGATAGATTGAAATATAATATAATAGCAGCCATGGAAGTTCGTTAAAAATAGTCATAGAAAAGCATGACTTGAATATGCTTATTAGGTAAGTTGCTTGAATGTCCTTAATTTTTTTTATTTTTTTTTTATCTAATTTCTTGAATCCGCTATCTCCATGACTACATATACTTGCGAAATGATTAAATAAGTCGCCATATTTGCCCCATTCAAATGTTAAGCTATGTCACTTGTTTTTTTTGTTTTGCATGTACAAAATCTTTGCTTTTATATTATGCATTTATTCTTGAATATACACTACTCCGCGTTTATCTTTGAATGTTCAACATTTTTCCTCCTCCAAAGTTTTGACAACTCCACATGCAAATTTACCAAAATTCTCTTTATATATATATATATATATATATATATATATATATATATATATTTGTTTGTTTATACGGAATATTTACCTAGATTGCCTCTTCCATTGAGGCAGCCTAGATTTATGAAATTATTAAGGGTCAAAATCGTTATTTTTGCAATAAAGTAAAGTACATTTTTGTAAATAAGTCATTGTTCTTATTCCTTCGATCTACACCCACCTTTATCTTTGTCGTCTCCTTCTTCAATGGAGACTTCGCCAACACCAACGGTCCAACATTAATAACACTAAGAAAATAATGGAGAAATGAAGAGTATGGTTAATTTCAAAGGATAGGTGAGCTTTCCCTCTCCTTTATTGGTTTATCCATTGAAACCGAGATTTCCCTCTATTAGGCTACCATTTAAGCTAAGCAGAGATTTGTCCATTAACATCGTTAGTTTTTCTGAACAAATCCAGCTAAATAAAAGTATAAGAATTGTTTTTTTATTTTTTATTTTTATTATTATAAGAGCACATATTTTCGATTTTATTTATAAATTTGTCATTTGATAAACAATAATAATAATAATAAAACAATATCAAGGTGAAAAATTTGTATTTCTCTTCTTCAATTATTTTTTTTATTTTTTATCTAAAAAATAAAGGATTTCATTAATAAAAGTTAGTTTAACCAACACAAGAAATTCTAAGAAATCTAACAAACAAACACAAGTAACACTTTAGAACTGATTTACTTAATTTTTAGAGTAAAAAAAAAAATCTATTTTCATTTTATAATTTTGGGGAAATTTCTCTCTCCTCCTCCCTATACGGCTATATCCCCTGCGCTTTGAACGTAAAAATGTAAGATTCCGACAATCATACCTTTTCCGGTGACCTCATGTAAATTCCAAATCTTTATCTCACTTTTTTCTGCGCTTTTTTTTGTTGTATTCCAACTTCATATTAACTCCTACTTACCCCCAGTTTGAAGAATCACTGATCCTAAATTTGAAGGTTAGTAATTTTACTCTGATGATCTTGTTCAAATCAAGTGTTTATTTTCATCTGGGCATGTGTTATTTTCTGCAATTATCAAAGTTTAATTGAATAATTTTGCCATTAAACATTGATTTGAGTAATGGGTAGTGATTGATTTTTGAGAGCAATATAAAATTATTACATGAATTATGATTCCTCCTCCATTAAAGAGAAAAAAATGGAGTGAGGCAGAGGAAAAAACACTAATTGATAGATATGGAGAGCTTATCTTAAATGGGAATTTGGGAAAGATGAAAACTAGGGAGAAAAAATTTAGACCTATTGCTTTTTATGTGAATTCAATGCACCATGATAGGGACCCAATTGCATTTCCATGGCAATGGACATGGAAAGATGTGTCCACCAAGGTGCAAAACATGAGGCATCAGTATTTGCTGGTTAAGCAAAAGATTAAGAAGCCGGATTCGGATTCGCCTTTGGGAAGCAATTTGGTGGGTAGTGGAGAGAAATTTGAGTGGGATGATGGTGTTTCACATTGGTCAAATTTTCTAAGGTACAAGGAGGTATTTGGGGATGTGCCTTTTGTTTTTAGTAATAATCATGATGATTCTATGTTGGGAACGGCTAGTAACGATGAGAATGGTGGAGGGTTTTGTGGGAGTAGTCGAGGGGTGGATATGGTGGATTTTGGCCATTTAGGTCATTCAGGAGAGGAGGATTTTGCCGCGGGGATTGATGGTGGGGAAGACGGGGTCTTGAGTCTTGGTTTTGAGTATGACGGGGAGGAAGGAGAAGAGAATGTTAACAATAGCAGTAACCATTTAAAGAATGATGCTGATGAAGAGTTAGCATATGAAGAGGTTGAGGCTAATGGATTGGAGTTGAGAAAGAAGAAGAAGGTAATTAAGGGGTTTGAGAAGAAGGCTTGGAGTTTCTTAGCAAATCAATTGGGACAATTGAGGGAAATGGAAATGCGGTTTGACCAAAAGGAGATAGAACGGGATCGAGACAGGCAAAGGAAGGAAAATTTGCGTGTAGAGCGTGAGAGAGAAAGGGATAAGATGTGGCAAGAGAGGGATAAAGAAAGGGCAAAGAGGGAGAAGAATATGGAGGAGCTGAGGAAGCGAACATTAGAAGAATGGGAAGCCATGGAAAAGGAATGTGAAGAAAGGGATAGCAGAAGAAGAGAGGAGCTGTTGATTCAGGAGAGGGAATGGGAAGAGAGGATGAATTTGAGGAGGTCTGAGTGGAAAAAAAGGATGGATGACATGTTGAATCAGCATCGAGCTGAAATGGGACAGATTCAGTCCCGGATACTGCATGAACAACAAAATCTCACAACTCAGTTGCTCACAATTGTTTCACAGTGGTCAGGCCATCCTAGTGGGCTCTCTGATCATGCAGGAACGAGCAGTCATTATCTTTCACAAGTGATGCCTAATATGCACCATGTGAACGGCATGATTCATGATGATACTAGGGTTGAAGGAGACAACCAAGATGATCAATTCATAGTTGATTGATGATCCTGATGCTTCTGCCCCTTTTTGCAGCTGTACTCCAGGGCAGATATATTTCTTATATGTGAGGATATTTCTTATATGTGAGGATATTTGCAATGGCAAAATGTAGAGTAAGAGAATTCGGCTGTAACATTGTAAATTGATTTGAAATAAAATTCCTTGTTTCCTTTTTCATTCTTTGTTATTTTAACTGACAAACTCGAAGTATATACACTCTGATTCTCTTCCAATCTCTGTCCTTGTTTTTTTAAACTAGAACAGTAAAATAAATAGTTTATACAGAACCTGCGAAATACATACTGGTTAAGAAAGAGTCAAACAATTGTGTGATCTCTTTTGTTGGTCTGCTATTGAAGGCAAACACTCCCTTTACTCAGAAACAATAGTTGCATATACTATTTTGGTCGTCCAAAGAGTAGTTGTCACCTTTCTTGTATTAGTAATGGTATGATTGGATTTCTCAGATGCCCCAACTTGTTGATTTATCTGTTAAACATGAGAATAACCAACTAATAAGGTCTTTCATTGAAGTTATGTCATTTTTTTTGGCTGCAATAGCTTCTTGTTGTTCTCCCCATGTTTTTACTGTTATAGTTTGTTTGTTTTAATATTTGGGCGCAAAACGTGGCTATAATTAGTTGGTTAATTAATATGTAATTGTCTTTAGAGCAATGACTTGCTATCACCTATGATAAGTTTCAATTTTTATTAAATTTTGATAGAATTGCTGGATTTGCCTGTAAGATATACAAAGTAAATAACATAATGATCCCATAATTGCATTCCACTCGAGCTTGTCATGTATTTGTGTTGTCATTCTCTGTAGTGCAACTTAGTAAGTTTCTGGGAGTATTTCATAGTTATACTTTTATATATAATTTCTGGAATTACCTTTCATTCAATGCTCTTAGCAAATTTGGGTTATATGGCGAATCTGTCTCGTTGGTTTTGTACTGCAGCGGATTTTGCTTCTGGATTAGTGGATGTCTTTTCTCTTTGTGCGAGCAGAGTTTTGTTCTGATTGCTGCTTAAGGTTGTAATGTTTGAGGAATACCTTTCTTTTGTAAGGTTGTAATGCTTAAGGTTGTAATGTTTGAAGAATACCTTTCTTTTGTAACTTGAGTTTATCCTCATGAATACATTTACCAAAGTACTATTTCAAGATTTCTTCATTTCTTGCAACTCATCTTACTAGGTAAAGGGAGGATCAAGGAGTGGAGGGATGCTTAGTCCCTCCATCTCCCCCCAGTGTGACCGGGGTTCGATCCTCACCCCCAGCACCCCTCCTGTGATAGGAGGGGCACCCCGTATCTTACCGTTTAAAAAAAAAAAAATCTTACTAGGTAAAGGCTTGTCATATTATATTAGCTAGTCCTGGAATCTTATGCAGGAGTTGCTTGATTGTTTTCTATATTTTTTGCGAAAATTTCTGTGTTTTGGCTTTTGACAGAAATTTCTCTGTAAGTTCTTATTATATTGATAACCATAAAGTTTTTACTATACACTAACCAGTCTAACCCCTGGGACAGTGTAGTTTTATACTGCTACTACAGCTATTTTCAGTATGTCATGCTTTAAACTTTCAATACTTAAAGCAGCAAGTGTTTACTGAGCTATAGACCAAACCCGATGAACCAAATTTGACCCATTCCTTTTGCCTTTACATTGCACATGTACACACTTCATATATCAAATTGCACACTGAGCACAACCCAAACCAAACCAAAACTAAACACGAACCCAACCCATTTTTTTTGAACCGGTAGCTCTAATCTTAAGAACCAGTCTATCAAATCATGAATAGAAAAGAAATTGTACGAAGTATATTGACACAAATAAATAAGGGTTATTGTTGACTCAATTTGTACACGATAGGGGTTACATTCAGCCATTAAGAAGAAAGTGAATACATAAAGTTGATGCAATATAAAATATGTATCAACATCAGAGAAAAGGTGCTGGAAATATACAAGCAAGCAACTCGCAGCACTTCAGAAAGAGACATTAAGCATTTTTCTGATCCAGCATTTTGCATTTTCAAATCAACACAACACAACATATATTAGCTACTTGGATTTGAACTTCAAAAGAAATGTATCTCAGAGTCTCAAGTGACCCAAGCAATTCCATGAAAACATAGAACAAGGCTTCAAAGTGCTTGCTTCAACTTCATAAATTGTTTTACAATTTGCCATTTTTCAAGTATGGCCACATCGTGCAAGCATAGGTAAACTATCATGCATGTGTCAACTGACCTACAAATTAGAGCATGTTACAGAATATACATTCTTCTACATACTAAACCATATTCAATCAGCTGAGATTGAGATAATCAAACAATCCCAGCTCCTGAGCCACAATATGTGCATTAATGCTGTGCCTGTGAACGATCCTGTCTGCATTTAGAAGGAATCACCTCAAATCCCCATCTTGCTTCTACAAATAAAAAATTTATTCATAAACAAATTGATACAAGTCATACAATTACACGCTTAAACATACCCTGCTGATACTTGTACTCAAACAGTGCTGGAAACCAGTCAGAACACGGTGCTGGTCTAAGAGCAGAAGAGCTAAAAGCGCCGTCTGAAAGAAGCTTCAGGGCTTCATGGATGATTTTAAATAAGAATATTGCAAGGCTGAAACTTGGAAAAGGTCAGTCTTACCATAACGTAGTGGTGGACGACTGGATTCCAAGGGCCATGGTATTCATGTAGTATATTAAAGATGAGGTTCTGGGCGTATTTTCTCCATAAGTATCTCTTCAATGCCATCCACAAAACTTGTTATGCTTTTTCGTACATTTAAATCAAAAGAATTTGCCACCTCCTGCAACACAAAAATTGTGGAAATTTTACAGAAACATTTTTTATTATTACTGTTTTTTCCTCTTAAAAGGCTGATAAAAAAAATAAAAAAAATTATAAAAGCTTAATCTGTAATCAAACTTTTTTTTTTTCTTTTCAATTTATCCTTAATATTACATCTAAAAATGCATAGTAAATGTTAATACCATGATTTATCATTGGGCTTTAAAAAAAAACATGCAGAAGTATTTAAGTTTAGTGATTCAAATGGAAAATAGATTATCCTTCCACCCCAAGTTATAGTCTCACTTGCAGTTCTAGGGTATCCAAAGACATCCTACACTTCCTGAGGTATCAATCAGGTAACCTTCAATGATAACTAACACCAAAAGCTTTTGCTTCAATACACATAGCAAGACTCATTCTAGGAGATAGGAATAATAGCAACTGAGTAGAAAAATTAATTACCTCAACTTTGGAAAGCAAACTCAAAGAAATTTCTTTTGCATTCTGATTAGAACTCAAGAAAGAGAATAGCTTAAGTGGGGATATTGATAGCGGCCAACCCTGAGAAGGCTTTATAAAGGCGTCTATCCCACCATTCATGTGAGCAACAATTAACTCGTCCTTGTCCAAATACTCAAATGAATGCCTGCAACAGGCAAAAAGAAGAAACGTAAATGGGAAACATTAGATACAACTGGGTGCAACATTTTTACAATTGGTATGATTCATGATCTGCTAATACGTATATTATGAAATTTTAACCTTCTAGGTCACAGTTTTACTGTTTTACCCTCTAAACAAGGCTCTTCAATCATCAAAAAGGGTATATACATTGACATTTAATTATTTGCTTTACACCAACATGACTTCAAGCCAGATTGTGACTACAAGAAGCAAAGGTAACTTTGAGCCAGATAACAAAGTACTAGACATCAGGTGAATGCATTTCCATGGAATTTCCTTATGTTAGGCAGCAAACATAAGCTCGATCATTATCAACTACTGCTGAATGCCCTATTGCTCTTGAAGTCTCCTTTCACTTTTATCTTCTTTTTCTAGCAATGAACAGGAAGGTGAGTCAGAAGTTTAGAGCTTTACCATTTCTATAGGCCACAGATTTGAATACCTTAGCCAATGTGCTCTCTGTCTTTCAAGTTTCACTTTCAACTAATCATAGCAGCAGATTCTCAGAGTGATTTTCAGTTTTCCTTTCATCTATTCCTTAGATTGTTTCATTACTATTTTTATCATATTCTTTATGGGACTAAGGCTTTGTTGTTGTTGGTTCTGAAAAATGTAAAGGATTTACAATTGAAGATTAACTTTGTTAATGGTTAAGGACTTAAGGGCTCCTTTCCATCTATCTTGACTAAGAAGAGGAGGGGGAGTGTGCTCCTTTTCTGATTTTGAAGTTAGAGAACATCACTAGGAAGTACCACATCTATATATCCTTTGATAAGCTCTTTTCCTTTCTCATTTTCTACATTGATTATCCTGCTTCAGATTTTCTCACATTTACTGTCCTTGGTTCTCCTTGTTCTACAGAATAAAAAAAAAGACTGGATAAATCTCATGGATTTTACTGATGATTAGATAGCAAGAAAATTACACCTGCCTGGTTTACTTATTAGGTGTAGTTTACTTGTTAAATTTGAGTGAGTGAAGTACCTGCTTTTATTTTAATGTACCGAAAATACACAACAATTATTATTTTAGGCATGTAGAGGTGCAGGAAAACTTGTTAAGTAAAAATCACCTGGACTTATTAGCAATCTTCACCATAAATCGTCTTAAAGTGCAAATGACGATTCTGTCTTGGACTTTCTGCAAAAACCATCCCAAGGAAGACCTTGTCTGGGGTACTGATAGCACAGTAAATAATTTGCTGGCACAATGCAAGAGAAAATGTCAAGTAAATTACAAAATATGTAGTAAGAAATTCAAGTTACTCATACATCCGCATTATATGATGACAGAACTAAGAATTTTATTTTAGAACGAAAAATGGTTATGTGCACAGATTTATCATAGATATCCTTCACCAGTTACCAGTAATAGGTTGTAAAATCCTTTAATGTCAATTTCACTATTTCAGCAGTATCTGCAACACTTTGTTTATTATTCCTTATCCCATGATTAATATCTTTTGATGTCTTCTACAATAATACAAATAAATTATTATGCCAATTTACCATCAAGAGATAACTCTAATAAAGGTAAATAAATACTTCAACTTGCGGAAAGGATCATCTAAAATTAGAATTGTGTGTCAAAATAACAAGAAAAAGTATAAAGGTTAATTGGGATAAGACAAAGGAAGAAAATATTGATATCATCACTCATGGAGCTCATACTCATTTTAGTGAATATAAGGGTTCAAATATCTAAGTAGCTTCTCTCAAAAGTCATAGGAAATAGGAAATACTTGAGAAATGCAGTTGGAATAGATAATATGAGAGACAAACCTGAAGGTGTTTGCAGCTTCAGCAATCTCCCCTATGTAAACATCATTTGGAAAAATCTGCAGACATCAGACAACATAGTATTTTACAAGCAGTTTAAAGAATCCAGCATTGAATTTAGCTTCTCAACTTCACAAGGATACAGAACATCTTAAGGGAATTGATTTTGAAATACACCACTAAAGCATGAGTAACTTCCAGAGTATTCCAAAGACAAGCCATGGCATAAATATATAAAAGAAAAATGAAGGGGATGCATAAAAACAAGTTAAGCAAATTAGTCAAATGGAAGACTCACATCTGCTTTTACCAGGTTGGTAATGCATAAACAAAGTTTGAAATAGGACATATCAAGAGAAAGACAGTTTTTCCCTATTAGGCATATATGTTTAGCACCTGTAATTGTAACATCATAAGAAATGCAGCCTTCTCTCTTCTCAGAACCCTCATTGATTCAGTTCAACTTTTTTGTGAGGTGAGGGTGGGTTTGGGGGGTTGGGGGGGGGGGGGATTGATTTTAATTAGAAAAAAAAAAGATACAGTAACCCTTGTGGAGTCCAACAATATTTAACCAACAATAAAAAAAGCATGACACGCCAGTCATGTTGAGTAAATCATAAAAAATCCATACACAAGACCATAGCAAAGCAAGAAAAACAAACAAGTTCTTATGAAAGCACTAGCAATAAATTTATTAATTCTATTTTCTAAGAAATGTGAAATGCCATTAAAGTACACTAGCATAAGATCATACGCTACTAAATTTCCAAAAATCCGCATATCTTGTCTGAACAAACCCCACCCCCCCCCCCTCCCAACAAAAAGATAGAAAGATATTACGTAGCTAAAGCAAGTCCCAATCTCAATTCTCAAGTTGCACAAACTGACAAATTTACAGTTTTATTTGAACTTTGAATTAGTGATTCATCTATGATACCTAGTTATCCACATCAGCTGTCCAAACAAAAACCATGCAACTTATGTAGGTAGAAAGGATCCCAGGAAAGAAGGCATGTTGCTAAATAAAGTAACCATTAATGATCTCAAAAGGTGCATGTTCAAAACAAGGTGGACCAGGTCCTAATATCCAAGATGCGAGCCAGGTGGAAACACAAGCCTGTAAATCCTGACACAACATACTTTTTCTACTTATAGATACATAATACCAATTATATGGACAAACTGGCGTATAATAACAAATGACACAAGCATAACATTCTTTGAAAGACAATTAAGTGACTAGAACTGCACCAAGCCCACAAATATATTGAAGTTTTATCAATGTTATAAGCAAGGAGAACGATTTCACCAGAGCTACCTGAAATGAAATTATGAAATAGTTCATAAAGTTGTACCTCTACATTTTTAAGATCCATAGTCCCGTCAATGACCTCTATTAGTAACTCATGGTTCACTTCACACTGCTTGGAATTATCTTCAGCATTCAGCCGACACATCTCACCTTCAACATCTGGAATGTATGTCTTCAATGACACCCTTATTATATTTCCTTCAAGGTCTATCACCTTCAAACCAGTTAATGCCTCCTCGATGTTTTCAATGACCTCAATCCTAAAATAAAAAAGAGAGAAGATAAGACAAAATTAAAGCAATGCAAGTCAAATACAACCTTAAACCAGCGATTATTTTCGCCATCTGTACAATCTGTAGACTAAGAGCACTACAAAGACGAGGCAGTTGTTTTATATGGGATATACAATTGTCCTGCCACCTTTTCAAGTTGAGGTCAAGATCCTCCATGGACTTCAATGTCGCATTGTTCATCTCAATTTGATGTTTCAAGTTTAAAACCTGGAAGATAAAAAGCCAAAAAACATAAACATACACATCGATAGTTGACATCAATCAGTACCACACAGCATATATCGAGAATATACTTCCTGCACAAGTCCCTGAAAATTAAATTGGTCAAGGCCAAACATAACTGGCTAGCACCATAATATAAGATGTCATGAAAAAAGTTAACCTCGAAGTAGTCTTCATGAAGTGCCTTTGCTTCAGGTTGACCCTCTCCAGATTTGATTCTATCAACATGTTCTACTGTTTTTGCTAGCCCCAGTCCCTGTGTTTAACCATATGACAATAAGTAAACACTTTGAGTTGGCACAGCCAGAGACAAATTTCTATGACAAGACCATTGGAATCAGGATATTTCATTACTCATAAGCAAGTTCAACTTGTAAAAATTTCAGGCTGAATGCTGAAGATATACAACAGTTACAATTACCACACAACTCTACAACTGTATTTCAGGCAAATAATCATTGACCAGCACCAGTAGACCTTCTAATTGTGTGATTATCGTTGAAAACTCACCTCCAAACCAGTATGCTCCAAGAGATGGCGCAATGACTCAAGATTACTTTCCAATTGACAAGTACCTAAAATTACCAAACCAATTAGCAAGCTGTTTGGTATCTATCAAGATAATATGACAAAAAATATATGCAGTGGCCCACCTTCCATGTACAATTTTTTAAGACTCTCGATTTCATTGGATAGGGACGCACTTTCAGCCTCTGTCGTCCTAAGCTCATCTCTCAAAGAATCCATGTAAGCATCTGCAAGTATGATTCAGGTACAAATCACATGAAAACATTTGGTAGACATATCTACAATCCCTCTATATCATTGCAAAACGATTATATCCTTTCATTGAGTATTTCATTTCAATAGTTCTGCAATCATTCTAACTCATACAACTCACATCTGCAAATTAGTAGCCTCGCCCGGCCCTCACACCTTCAACGAAGGATCTAATGTTACAATTGATATCCTTTGTTTAATAGGTTTGCCAATCTTTAACACATCTAAATACAAGGCACTCCCATCCATCCCTAAAACGCGTCACTATGACATACTCGTTACTTTTCCAAATTACCAAATCCCTCTATTTCCCCTAGCAAAGGAATTAAACTTGTTCACATTTCATAAAATCCAAGTGACTTTTTTTTTTTTTTTTAATTACAATGTACTTCAATAGCTTATAAGTGATTCTTCTCATGTTACGAAAACGAGCAAAACTTGCAAAATTAGCAAATCAACACATAATAAACAAACCATTCCAGAAAAATGATATGGGAATTCAGCATAACAACACCAAAGAAGACAAAACTTAGAAATGTGCTTACCCAAATCTTCATCTTTGAAAAACCCAACATCCGAATGCTCGGAGACAATTTCTTTCACATTGGTCTGCATTAATTTCATATATTAACAGTATTATAAAAATTATTAATTCACAAAGCAAATCATAGCTCGAATCATAACTTACTAAATTAAATTAAAATAAAGTAAGAAGGATAGTAAACCTCAAGAGCTTGAACGCAGTCTTGAAGAACAGAGTCGGAATCTGAAGAGGAAACTACGGAATTGGTAGCGGAATTTGCGAGGAAATTGGATAATTCATCAATCCGACTGGGAAATTACAAAATTTAACAATATGAGTGAGAAAATGTGGGTTGAAAATAAGGGGATGATTAGAGGAGAGAGAGAGAGATTACCTGCGAATAGTTTCGACCTCCATTATCAGTTTGCTGAATGAATTAGGATGCCTTTCAAACTTGAAATTTAATTTCAAACTCCCTTCATCCTTGTTTGTTTGCCCATATTCTATTTTAACGTATAAAGATTGTCCAATGGTGACACGTCTTCTCCGCTTACTTCACTAAACTGAAAACGACAAAGATATCCCACATCTATTACCAAGTTTTTGGTATAGAGGAAGCAATCACTTAATTTCACTTCTCTAAGCTTACTTTAGCTTGTATGAATTTTGGTTGTCTCCAAAATGTGCAAAAAGATGACTACTTAAGTATTTCATGTTATTTTGATTACTCGTACTTGCGATGGAAAGAAGATTCTTTTAGCTAACATGCTACAAAGTATATTTTAAATTTTAGGGTGTATCGGTGCATAACATCACCTAGTTACTTGTTATCTATGTTACATGGACTCTTCATTTCACCTCAATTATCCATGTCGAACCTTCGATACTCGGACATGGATATGACTATTGGATACATCACTTTTAATTCAAAATCATGAAATTTTTTCATAAAATAGTCTAGTCAGACACTTGAATACGTACCCCTATCGAATTTGGGTACAGACAAAATAGTTTGTGTTAATTGTATATTAGTGGCTCAAATGGGACCTTGAACAATATAAGGTAGGACCCGTAGGAGAAATATAAAAAGTTAGATGCAAAATCAATCCGATAGTTTTCATACATAACTTTTGTACACGAAAACAAACAAGGAACACAAGGTATATTCAATTATTCTTGCTATATGCAAATTTAAGAGTGATATTTGTGTGAGGTGATTCAATTTCGCTTACATAGATGATGTAGTCTTTAGATATGAAAGAAAATCGTGAGCTAATGGCCTAGTTTATGGGATTATTTAGCCACGTTTAAATTGAATCCATACTTCCAAAACATTGTTTACTTCATAATCGAATGGAGTCCAAGGCCAATCAATCAAAATCACCAGTGTCATAATTTTAATTTATTCAACATGTAGCTAGATGATGCTATTCAGATGGGGCTTTTTAATTGAATTAACCTTAATCTTAGACATTCCCTGTTTGTAATAAGATGGCTTTAACGCCATTGAACTTCAAAATTTTCATTCACAAGAGAACTCAAATCACCCAATCTACTCAACCTCAAAAGAGGGTGGCTACAAACCAGAAATCCGACCCATTAAAATGTGCAACTTGAGCAGAAAATTTGTTAATACATTTATAAACTTTTACCAAGTTTAGGATAGCATGATGCTTAAGTAGGGATCATTTGATTACTTATAAATCAAACAGTTAGTCGCTGAACAGCACAAGGGAATAATTTACCAGTGAACTAAGCAAATAGTGTCTGTTGACAGGAGAACAAGCTGCACCCAAAAGTGGGATCTCCCTAGCTACAGCAAATGGGATTTTCATTGACAAGCTAGCTAACTATTCATGTCTCAAACCACAAAATCTAAACAACCCATCTAGATACAAATCACTATACTACATGTCTTCTTCGGATATCCATGGACACATCAAACAGAGCACCACCACTCCCTGGCTTGGATCAATAATCACTTGCAAACCTTGCCATCTCAGCCTACAAAATGCAAATTACATATTAGATCAATAGCATTGAGTAATTTCCAACAGCACAACAATCCGCTGTTGCCTAGAAGATATTGGTGCTGAACAAGATACTTTGAGAATAATGTGTCTTTTGAGATACAATAACACTCTAGAAGCACAAATCAATAAGGCAGCTCATCCTTAAAATCCATTTGCAATCTCCAAAGAAATTTTTATTGGTGCAAAAATCTCCAAAGATATCAATATTCAACAAGCTGTTATCAAACCTTATATAAACAAACCGACACTACAAGTTTTATTAACATAGATTATTAAAACAAAGTACACATGACTTTCTCACCTCAAATGCACCTTTCAAACAGTCAAGTTCCTTGTCTAGGTCATTGATCGCTTGATTGTATGCCTGTGTTGGTGAAGACTGGCTTGTAGTGTGAATCTGCGCAGATAAAACAATCCATTTAACAATGCATGAGACATGTAAGGGGGGTTCAAGAATTCTCAGATATCAATTCACAATAAGATGTGAACTAAAGATATTAGTCGCCACCAATGAAATAAATGGTCTTTAAAGTCCTTAGCTAATCAGATACACAAAAGTAATTACTACACTCTCGAGCTTTACTAAAAGGCACAAGATATTCAGCAGTATGATTAAAAAACTGTGAGAGATACCAACTTCTGCAGAAACTCAGAAAGCAGAGGCATAGCAGCATCACCCATCTTATTTATTATTGGACTAAGCGTATTAAGGAGAGATGTGATGAGGTCAACACCTTTTCGCCAATTCATAATAACAGAGGCTAGCATAAACCTAGCAGCTAGCACTCTAAAAGGCACGTATGCAAGATCTAGATTTAAAATAAACCAGAGACATAAAAGGAGGAACATAGTTTCAAGAGGTACAAGATAGCAAAACGATTCTAACAACGAGGCTTAATAGATTAAAGTATTCATAATTCACATGTGGCGCATTTCCATCAGAGAAGCATCTCAAACTGATTGTTATGGAAAAAATAAAGCCTTGTCGATAAACTCAATAATTAGAAAATAACCACATAAAGCATTCTCCAATATCGTTATCTTATGGGGCACCCCTAATACTCCCACTGCTGTAATTCTCTCAGCCAAACCCAAGTTCCGCTCTTTGACAACCTTGGGGGTTAAGATCCACATATTGTACATGAGCTCATAATTCTCCTTTAATCAAAAGTTTCATCAAATATCTCATCTTTATCTCGGCTCTAACATTACACATAAATCATTAAGCTGAAAACATTCGCTAAAATATACTACAGGAGCTAAATTACTTAATAATAACAACATAAAACAAGTAAATTATCCACATTAGCTTCAAATTTAAGCTCCAAATTACAATTGCAGAAAAAAATAAATAATAAATCGATAATACTAGTAGAAAAAACTAACCCTAACAAGAATTTTGTACTGAAGAGGGTGTGGAAGCTTGTAGCCGGCAAAAAGGACATTTGGGTCTCTGTGCAATTGCCTATACCATGTCAGAAAAATCAACAAAATCGATCAGCAAAATCGATCAAATTAGGGTTTTTGAAATTAGAAATTGGGAAAATAATTAATTACATGCGGAGGATGTTGCCAATGGTGTGGTCTTCTCTCTCAATGGTAAAAGAGGCAGCATTGATGATCTTCGTATCTCTCTCATACGAAACCCTAAAACAACAAGAAGAATAATCACCATTAACAGCAATTATCAAATTATTAATAAAAAAAATTGTGATTATCACTGAAAAAACAAAGTGGGAAAAGATAAAGATTGAGATAATTACTTCTTGACGCCTTCAGGAACGACGAATCTCTCGTATCGATCAGGAGCATTCATCTTTCTCTCTCTTCTCTGATGCTAAGCGGAGGAATTAACAAAGAACTGTGTTCAACTCTGTTCTAAAATTCGAGGGGTTAGATATGTTTTTATTTTCAGTAATTTTTCATCAACCTTGTACAACTTGTACTTTTATCCTTTACCGTCCCTTAACTAAAATTACAGTCAATAATACACTTTTTTTTTTATTTTTTTTTTTCCCTTCTATAAATACACTATACATACCTTGTACTTTCGGTTTCGGCTAAGTAATTTTATTTTATTTTTGGTTAGAAAGAGGGGCAAGCCCTTGGCTAAGTAAATTTGAGATTAGTAAAAATACAATCTCTAAACTATGCACACTTTTGGTTCCTCATCTTTTAATGTTCACTTTTGATCCGTCAACCATCATTGAAGGAGATTTCAAGGCAAATAGTTGAGAGACTAAGCTTAGATAGTAATAGTTTAGGGACCCTGAAAGCTTAGTTAGCAGTAGTTTAGGGACCTTGAAAGTGACAAGCGTTGGAATGGTCGCTACAGTCTAACGCTCAATCAAACAATATTTATACGAACACCCTAAAACCAATATAATGGCAAGTAAAGGTTCGGTCCACGAGAAACGGGAGTAAATGCTAATTGATCTTGAAATCCTAAGCTAGTTCGAAGTCAAGGTGTGAAAGGTGTTCTAAAGCTACGATACAAAAAGATAATCAATTGACTAAAACACTAGGGTGAACGGGAATCCACCCAACCATCAATAATCAAGCAAAAGGGGATCATGGAGGTAAACAAGCATGTAAGGACCATAAGTCATATCAACATCATGTGATAGGAGGACAACAAGAAACATTAAGCTTGGATTGCTCATGCACTTAACACAACTTGATACATAATCAAACCACAATCAATAATGAAACACTTGATTCACAAATGAATGATTTTAACAAGTGGAACATGCATTCAAAATCAATACTCTAGGTTAGCTACTCCTATTATAGTGATTTAACATGCAATAGCTCATAATCAATTTAATCACAAGTCATTTACCAAGAACAAACCCCAAACACTTAGATTAATTAAGGTAGGGTTTCATCCCGAAACCCTAGTTAGAGAACTACTCACACATGTTGAAAACTAAAGAAGCAAACATCTCAAGAACCCTGATAAACCCTAACATTAATACTAGCAAATATCAATAAATGAGTAATAAATGAGAAAGAGAACAATACCAATATTAAATGGAGTCAAACAAAGCAAAAGATTGAAGCTTTGATAACCGTTGTCAATGATTCGTACAAAGTATTCCAAATGCTTGCCTTGAGTGAGAAATTACAAATCTTCACTAATAATCTAAGATTAATCTAAAAGAGAACTAAATAAAACCCTAAATAAAGTTTTGGAACCCTAGAAAGGAGCGAAAAAGTAGAAATCCTAATTAATTGCTTGCTTACATTCTAATAAATGAGCCTATTTATAGTCCTTTTTGCACGCTGAAAAGTTACGCAGAATACCCCTGCGAGTTTGGCACGGGCGTGCCAAATATGGCACGGCCGTGCTGGCTGGCAGAAGATTTTGGCTGTTGAATCACGAAGATCAGCACGGACGTGCTGAACTTGGCACGGGAGTGCAGAAGGTACAGCACGGGCAAGCCAGATTTGGCACGGCCGTGCTAGGAGGCAGGGAGTTTGGCTGTTCATTCATCATATCCAGCACGGGCGTGCTAAAGATCAGCACGGACGTGCTAGTATCAGCACGGACGTGCCAATATACACACGGTCGTGCTGCTTCTAACTTCATTCTGTTGGAGCCTCTGGACATCAGCACGG